GTGAGATAGAATAAATATATGAAAATCATATATTTTGAACTGCGGTATTTGATACGTATGATGGACGATCCTCGCAGTAGATAGCGCTATTTGAGCAATAGCGAAATTCAGACCTGAAAAAAATCAGGCCTGTACGGGACTCGAACCACTGACCTCTGCGATACTAGTGCAGCGCTCTAACCAATTGAGCTAACAAGCCAACTGAGAGCAGGCCGTTAAGTTGATTCGTAATGAACCCGTGAAAGTGATAAATGAGATAGAATAAATATATGAAAATCATATATTTTGAACTGCGGTATTTGATACGTATGATGGACGATCCTCGCAGTAGATAGCGCTATTTGAGCAATAGCGAAATTCAGACCTGAAAAAAATCAGGCCTGTACGGGACTCGAACCACTGACCTCTGCGATACTAGTGCAGCGCTCTAACCAATTGAGCTAACAAGCCAACTGAGAGCAGGCCGTTAAGTTGATTCGTAATGAACCCGTGAAAGTGATAAATGAGATAGAATAAATATATGAAAATCATATATTTTGAACTGCGGTATTTGATACGTATGATGGACGATCCTCGCAGTAGATAGCGCTATTTGAGCAATAGCGAAATTCAGACCTGAAAAAAATCAGGCCTGTACGGGACTCGAACCACTGACCTCTGCGATACTAGTGCAGCGCTCTAACCAATTGAGCTAACAAGCCAACTGAGAGCAGGCCGTTAAGTTGATTCGTAATGAACCCGTGAAAGTGATAAATGAGATAGAATAAATATATGAAAATCATATATTTTGAACTGCGGTATTTGATACGTATGATGGACGATCCTCGCAGTAGATAGCGCTATTTGAGCAATAGCGAAATTCAGACCTGAAAAAAATCAGGCCTGTACGGGACTCGAACCACTGACCTCTGCGATACTAGTGCAGCGCTCTAACCAATTGAGCTAACAAGCCAACTGAGAGCAGGCCGTTAAGTTGATTCGTAATGAACCCGTGAAAGTGATAAATGAGATAGAATAAATATATGAAAATCATATATTTTGAACTGCGGTATTTGATACGTATGATGGACGATCCTCGCAGTAGATAGCGCTATTTGAGCAATAGCGAAATTCAGACCTGAAAAAAATCAGGCCTGTACGGGACTCGAACCACTGACCTCTGCGATACTAGTGCAGCGCTCTAACCAATTGAGCTAACAAGCCAACTGAGAGCAGGCCGTTAAGTTGATTCGTAATGAACCCGTGAAGGTGATAAATGAGATAGAATAAATATATGAAAATCATATATTTATATGATTTTATATTGAGATCTTATATTAATAAATATATGATTTTCATATATTTATTCTATCTCAATCTCACTAGAATTTAACAAGACTTAAAAGTTAACGATGCAAAATTTATTTCCAAAATCTATTGTGTTTTTTTTTATATATTTTTAAAACATCGCAATGAAAGAAACTCGCATGAATTGAGAACGGCTAGAGTACCAAAAAGAAAACGAATAAATAAGCTTAAACATTCACAGGAAAAAATCGCTAAAGTCTCCTGTAACAAGAGATTTGAGACTGTTTTTTTTCCTTACTATTGTTTTACCCGCGGCTTTTCTGTCAGTGGTCCATTTAGATATAATATAGTATCATTAGCTATTAGTAACTATAGTAAGATTCAAAACCTGCGATATTTTTCTTGACTATGCCGTACTACGATATTACACTTTCAACTATCGCTGTGATGTACAATGTAAGTGATGTGAGAGCACTTCAGACTATCAACTTTTGCCTCGTTTCCACGTAATAAGAATTCGTCTAATTATTCATTAAGGGAGCACATGATCGAGTTCTCATGTTGTCCTTTCCAGCTATCTAGAATTATCTTAATAATCTCAGGTTTGCCTGTAAAAGGGTTAGCCTCTATACAATCAACGCTAGGATAGATTAAAACTCTGCAGCTACATGGAGGTTTTGTTGGAGACTTTTTTTGTCTTTTCGCCGTCCTTTAGTGGCTCAAAATTTACTTTTCTCAAGGCGGCAATGGCTGTGGCATCCTCATTTACGTCCGAGGGAACTACGGAAGTTCGTTTCGTGCTTGTCCCATCGTCCATTGCTGGGAGTATGGCCTGAGTCCTTCGTGTCAAACGAGCTGTTATCTGTAAATTGCAGGTTAAATGAACCATATTGTTACATTCAAGGAGTATGTCACTCTAAGTATTTTTGCCTTTTATTTTGCTTTCTTATATGATATGAATGGACGTTCAATACCAACAAATTTTCTCAAGCCATAGCGGAATTTGAGGTCATTCAGTTATCTGAAACTAATGAGGACAGGAACATTTATAAAATGTAATAGATGCAGTGTAACTACTTCCTTTTCTTCCCTAAGAAGTATTATCATTTGCAATATCAACTTTAAACTCTTTGTACGCAAATCAATGATCTGTCTCGTGAATTGGAAATCCATGTCCTTTCTTCTTCCCCCTCCTCCCCAATGCTCCTTCCAAGGAGATGGCAATTAGTTTGAAAGTGAAGCTCTAGCGCACTTTTGAGGCTCCACGCCCTACAGAATATGGAAATACATTGATAAAATTTGGTCATAGTTTCGTGCCATTGTCCCGTCGAGTCCATCTGCCTAGAAAGTTGGATCCAAGAATGAGCCCTGCCCAATAGGGTCTCGTTTCTTTGATAGGACGCGTAAAATAAAACATCCCGGTCTCTGCTGTACTTGTTAAAATCGATATATTATCGGACTTTGACAATTTTCTAATTGAACAATCACTGACCTCGCTGTTCCTCACGCAGTGAAGAAGAAAGATGAAGAAACCCTGTTAAATCGAAGAGATGTCCAGAATCTGTGTCAAGCTATTACGATAATGCTAGATTTTTACGAGAGCTGCACATCTTTTGAAGCATTGAGCTAGCAAAGTAACACCTCTCTCTTTATGAATCCATCAATATCTGATAAAATAAAACGACTTTTGAACTTTAATTAAGTTTTTCTCTACGCCTTACCTGGGTAGAGTTGAGAATCGTGAAGATGTAAGCGAAAGCTTTATGCAATGGTGATAATAACCCAAATAACCACGAGATTCCCAGCAAAGGAATCATTACTACGCATGCCTTTACACCAAGTCTGCAAAAAGAGTTAGAATTGTTGTGTTATGATTATGACGAGATCTAATGAGCACCAATAGGTATATCAATCATATCAAGTTGAGTTATCGTTGTTATCGCTACGAACTCCAGATTCCGCTTCCCCCAAGACCGTTGGATTCCAGATTTGAGTTCCTGGAGCTGGACCTGATTCCTAGACTCTGTAATCCGGAAACCGGGTTTCCTTACATGGACCAAACTCTACCTTATTTGTTCGCTGTGTTTGTCTTTCTCTTGTTGCATGGTCGTCATGTCCTTGATAACCCGGCCGAGGATCACAATGTTGAACTTAAAAGAAGTAAACAGACCTCTATGAGCCCCTTAAATTTTTTTCAGTCTCGATAACGACAATCATAGTTATTTTCACTTACAAATTCAACAAGCACAACAAACACTATGAATATCCAGATCAGACCATTGGCCGGAGACATCCAGCAGCTTTAAGAAAAAAGAGAAAAATTAAGTCATGAATAAATGCTTTTTTGTCATTGATTACATGAGTCTTAAACGAAAGTGCTTTTGGGCATGCTAATATGGATTTGGTGCACATTTAGTGAGTCGATCATGCCTGTTCTCCAGATTATTGACTGAATTAATCAATAATTACCGCCCTAAACAATCTAATTCAAAATCTTTTAGAATAATCAGAATTTTTACATGTTCAATCTCAAAGCACAATAACAAAACGAACAAGTAAGGACAAAAAATAGAGAAAATGTTGAATTTCTAGATCTATTTGATGGCAAACAGCCGAAAACGTTTGGTTTAAACATTTTAATGATTTTTTTCCTAATCATTTAGCCTTGTATATAGAATATCCTTTATTAAGCGAACATCACGGACATAGATCTAGTTTGTTCGGCTGTAACAGGATGGTTTTTTTTTTCAAATCCAAAAAATACTTGTGTCAAATCAGTTCTTGTATAACTGAGTGGGATGACATTAAATCAGATCAATGAAACTCAACTTACTATTTATCACTCACAAAACTTTCGATCCCATCTTTTCCGGCTGCAATACTCAGGGATAGGGTAACAATGAATGCAGGAAGGCCTAAAAAATTGAAATTCGAAACTTTTTGATGTCTGCCAAGAGCATAATTTTCCTTTTTGACCTCGCATAGTTACCCTAAGCACCCCTAGTCAGAGCTATTCAGGAATGTAACTTGAAATATAATTGATACAAGGCTGTACCTGGTCCCGTGCTCTTGAACTCGGAGAGAAATTCCTCCCTGGAATGCTTAAGGAACATCGACGCACAAAAATAAAGGTGAATAAGGACCAAATAAAAATTGTTGGAAAAATTTTTCTCAAGAACTAGGGGTTGTGGATAACTGAAGGGACGGCAGTTAAAACTCTTTATTAAATATTCTAATGTTCGCAGAGTACTTTACCCCATGAGACTCCATGACAAATTTTTAACTTGTTACCAACGTTATAAACTTTCACAACAAACAAGTAGAGGTAAACTCCCTCGATTAGCATCCAGCAGAAGGCGGCCATCAAGAAATACTGCACAAGGGCTGCCAGTGCAACGCATCCTCCCTGTGAAAATGGACAGCAAAAGAGGACACGCAATGATTGATTTGCATACGTTTCACCCTGACTGTTTGAAAATTGACCAATCGAAAAGCATGTAAAGGTAAATGATGGAGGCATGCATGTAGAGGTAAATGATGGAGGGTTCTCTATAAAACGGTTTTTTTTTTTAACCAGAGAGAAAGGACAAAAAAAATGACTTGAAACTGTTTGAAAACCCTTAAATCCCGTCAGCTTCATGTTCTACGAATAATCATATATGTTTTCGTTCAGATAAGTTTCTGTTTTTCTTTTCCTAATTGAATTTATTGCTTCATTCATCTTTGTATCCATTGGCCCTTTCCTTTTTTTGACTGTAATCACTGACTTTTTCAGGACTCTTGCCTTGTTCTTAGTTGCTCCAATCCCAGCAAGAAATATGACTTGTCCTGCACCAAGAGAGGTGACGAGACTTACTCGAATCTGAGATAAAGTTCCCTTTATGTCTCTGGCATTGCAAATAAATAAATAAATAAATAGATGAATAAATAAATGAAAATAGCAAAAGAAAGATCCTATAAAAAAGGTAATAGTCGACTGGGTAAATTGCTACACAGTGCACAAGAGAAGTTGAACAGAAGTAGCAATGTATCATAAGTGTACTCCTATGATGGTAGTTCTATCCATATCTTTTGCAAACTTTACTCCCTTTTTCATTTTTGTATGTGAAAGTTAAAGTATTTCGTTAACGATACATTTTTCATTTCTTTTTCGCAATTTTTTTGTAGAGGAATACAAAAATAACACCAGATCTTTCCCTCGTCATAGAACTCAAAGAAACAAGGGGACAAGAAGCAACGCGGTTAATACTGCTCGGTTTTCAATGGTACCTGTCCTTTGACAGAACCAAGCGTACTTGGAAAATTTATTTGATCATGTCTCCACTATTTTGACTAATACTGTATTCTGTCTAACCACTGAACTCACGTGAGAGTGACATAGCTGATTATCGTCAATGAGATCCCAATGACAGAGAGAGTCAGCCCGACGTATGTGAGAATTTCCAAGGCCTTTTAGTCTTCCTTTTACGAAAAGAAAAAAAAAAAGGAAAACACAGCAAAACAAGACAACAAAGATAATAAAAATACCTTGAGAAAATATTACAAAGTCTGGATACATCGGATTCGCAAAGTTTTTAGTGTACTACACCATCTGATATAATATTATAATATACATTTGCTCCTATATTCGAGCATGTCCTATCGAACAAGGCAGCTGTAGGCGTTATGAGGATACCTACCTCTGATATACCGGCTGTCTCTGAACCAGATGACGTGTCCAGAAGAACAGCAAAATGAGTCAAATGATTGCAGGTGCACTCTGTTTGGTGAGCATTACTAGATTTGACATAGCATCCTTGTCCTGACCAGCCAGTGGAGCTGTGGTGAAAGGTAGTTAGAGTATCAATCAAGGGAGAGTCAAGTCATGCAAACGGAGCCCCATATGTAACTTATCAAAACGAACATTTTCGGCTGTTAGATGATGATCGTTAAGCACTTGCATGTATTTTCCTCTTCCTAAAACTACATGTATGCTCTCTCGGCTTGATTTCATTTGGATATGGGGACCGGCGACACCAGTCACAATAAGTTTTAGATTATTCCCACTTCATTAGACCAATGCTAGCCTCATAATAAGTGTTGAAAAAAGACTAAAGGAAATCTCAAAGCATATTTACCCCTCATCGAACATATTCCAGAACACACACTTTTTTTTAATATTTGAATTCTAAAA